AATGGTGATGGTGATTGTCAAAATTATCGGTGTATGTCTTCATATTTCAGCTGAAGATCCTGAGCTGCAAGCAGCTGTCCAAATTTATTTGGACATCTTAAGTGACTACGGATTTTGTGAGTGGAGACATGTTAGTGACAAAGTATAGCTGATGTAATTAAATGGTGATGGTGATTGTCAAAATTATGGTTGTATGTCGTCATATTTCAGTGGAAGATGCAATGGTCCCGTCGCCTCCATTTAATGAATAGTAAGTCACACCAATATATTTTGTTTGATATATACATAGGTAAAACTAAAATTTACATAATTAAAGTTATTTCATAGCATCACACAAGATGATGTATATATGTGTGTGCGTATATTACGATGTAGCTGATGTTGACAGCAACATCAAATAATTTGAAAAGTAAGCCATAATCAGTAAACATTGAAAACCTTAATTTGCTTGCACCACTACAAATCTTGCACTCTTGTGGTTGTCCTCTCTGATCATTCTCTTTTGTTTTTTGTCTTATTGCATATCAGGCTGCAGTGGGATGGCGTCCATTTTATATATATTTTATATATATATATATATATATATATATTTTAATTGCCTATTTAATTTATTTTGATTTAATGTTATATATTTTACATATTAATTTTTTGATTGATATGTTAAGTTATATAGTTCTTAAAAATTAAAAAAATAAAGTTTTTCATGTTCAATCAGTGTCTCAAAGTTTTTCATATTATCTCCTGTATGAGCTATTGTACATGGGTCATAGTAAGTATGCAAACCATACAAGCTAGTGGTCTGAAATTTGGCCTGCATAAACTAGGTTTCATGAGCACAGCACTGGGCTTTAGAAATTGCTAAGTTAGGTAATGCACGCGCTTTTAATAGTAAAAGGGGCAAGGTTAATTGAGGAGGTCCTTCAGCTGAACCCTGTGATCTAAGGGGCTTGAAATTTCACACAGATAAACTAGTTACATGTATGAATAAGTGTGCCAAGGTTAATTCGCGCAGCCCTTACCACTTAGCCGCAGTGGGCTTTAGAATTTGCCAAGTTAGGCAATGCACGCGAATGGAGACATTAAAACCTAGGCCTCAAGCGAAGCTGACTGGCCGCTACGGCCAAACCGTACGAGCTAGGGATCTGAAATTCGGCGTGCTCATACTAGATATAAGTATGACTTGATGTGCCAAGTTTCAAGAAAGCAGCACATACAGAACAAGTTTGGGGGGCCATGTAGTTTTACATTTTCATTAGCTTTTAAGCGCTAATGTGGCGGGTAACCTGAGGGGGTCCTGCAGCTGAACCGTGTGGGCTAGGGGCTTGAAATTTCACATAGAGAAACTAGGTGCAGGTATGAATAAGTGTGCCAAGTTTCATTAGCGCAGCCCTTACCACTCAGCCGCAGTGGGCTTTAGAGTTTGCTAACTTAGGCAACATATGCCAATGCGAAGACATGAGACTAGGCCTCAAACGAAGCTGACCGGCCGCTACGGCCGAAC